GAGTTGAGCGCGAGCAGCTCCTGGGTGCTTCGCTTGGCCGGACGCGTCGGTCAGCGCCGAGGCGAAGGCGGGCTTTGCGGCCGCCGGCTCCGAGGCGCCGCGCTACTTGCGCGAGATCATCCTTGACGAGTCACCCGAGACGGGGCTTGGCAGTCTCGAGCGGCTGCACCTCCTCGAGTGGAGCACGGCGCTCACGGCGCTGCCCTGCGGCGGCCTCAAGGACCCGATCACCCTCAAGCTCTACGAGGGCGCCGACGAACACGACTTGCCCGTGCACACATGCACGCACAAGGTGCACTTGTCGCCGTATGCGACCCGTGAACAGCTGCGGGCAAAGTTGCTGCTGGCAGTAGAGCACCGGCACGACGGCTTTCAGATCGAGTAATAATCAGCTGCAAATGTAAATGTTGCCACTGCACCACACACACACACACACACACACACACACACACACACACACACACACACACACACACACACACACACACACACACACACACACACACACACACACACACACACACACACACGCACACACACACACATCTCGCTTTCGCGAACACTTCAAAGGGTGAGTTGAGGGAATCGGAGGACGCGACCCACTTCGCCACAGACGGTCCCGTGCCTCGCCACTATGACGGCCACACGACCGCAGCTCGTGTGCGTGTAGCCGTCTTTGTCCGGAGTGAAAAGTCCAACGCGCTCGTCGTTGACGGTGTCCTCCAACCTGCGCCGCGCTCGGCGAACCTCGACAGCGCCTTCGGTGGCACGCATCTCTTTGCGCCTGAAGCCTGGAGAGCAGCTCCTCTGCTGCTCACACACTCTGCACAGTTGACACAGCCTACTGTGCGGCTGCCACAGCTGTGACAGCGATGGGCTCGCCCTCACTGGCCCTCAGTCACTTGTGCTGCGGCTTGTGTGAGCGACACTGCTCGGCGACTGCCGGCACACTGTGAGACCATGGGTGTGAGGTTAAACCACGCTACCAGCGCTTGGTCACATCGGCCCTGAGGTCAGATCCTTCTACTCTGTTGATGACAAGACTTGTCTACTGGCTGGAGCCGAGCAGGAGGGCCCAGCGCACAACCCCTGGTCAACTCAGGGTCCACACACACACCCCGTAGTATACACTTCTTCGGACTTCGCGTACTCTTACCGCGGTCCGCGCTCCTCCTCCTAGGACCTAGCTTTCTGGACGGCTCGCGAAAAGCCGCGCAATTCTTTTTCCGTGTCAGTGCCAGTGCGCGCCAGTCCCGTGCCCCGCGTGTCTCGCGTGACTCGTGAGACGGAGAGCTTTTTGTCGTAAAATTCTTTCCCGCACGACACGACGTGTGTGCCAGCGCGCACTATGCACTAGTCCCGTGCCCAGTGGCGTGTGAGTGAGACAGGCAGACACACACACACACACACACACACACACACACTTACACACACTCACTCACACACACGACCCACACACACTGTGTTGACAGCATGCTCGCCCCCCCGAGAAGCCGCGCGCAGGCCGCAGCCCGCCTGCCGCGCCTCCGAGCTCCGTCAAACTCATCACGGCCAACAAGGGACCGGCTACACGTGCGTACGCGTTTCGAACAGTAGAAGAGAATCACACTCACAGACACCCTCCAGCAGGTAAGACTGTGACGGTACTTGTTCAGTGTCTCTACGACTCGAACTCTTGAGAGACGACCTCGTTTTTCTGAGAGAGCATGCCACGAAGAGTGTTTCATCACGGTATGGGCGCGGCGACGTTGCCAAAGGCGGCGGCGAAGGCCTTCACCAAGCTGTCGGCGAGGGGCGCGTGGCGCGAGCGTACCGTCAGGCGCGCCGCCCCGCGCTGCGGGTTCACCTCGAGCCGCAGCAGGCAGAAGATGGCCGTGCTTGCGTTCGCCACCTTGTCGGGCGGCGCCGCGGAGGCGAGCGTCGCGAGGTAGCCGGCGCCGACGAGGTTGGAGGGGGTGGGGTCGACATTCTCGAGCACGGC